TAGTATACCAGATCACAGGTCACTCTAGTATACCAGATCACAGGTCTCTCTAGTATACCAAAACACAGGTCACTCTAGTATACCAGATTACAGGTCATTCAAGTATACCAGATCACAGGTCACTCTAGTATACCAGATCACAGGTCACTCTAGTATACCAGAACACAGGTCACTCTAGTAAACCAGATTACAGGTCATTCAAGTGTTCCAAAACATAGATAACTCTAGTTTACCAGATCACAGGTCACTTTAGTATACCAGATCACAGGTCACTCTTGTATAAAATTAAGAATTACCCGAAACTTCGATCTAAGTCGCATCAAACGTTCTTTTAATTTAAGAAATGTATTATGTTTTAAATAAAAATGCTGCAACCAAACAATAAGTTTGATTTTAACTCTTTTGTGTAAACTGAAAAGATTATGGTTGCGAGGTCGCAAAGTCGTTCCCTATCTAGATATTGAACTGTATTGTATTCACCAGTGTATTGATGCAAAAACAAACAGGAAATGTAGTTTACGCAAGAATATGGTCGCTATCTTTTTAACTGTCTTCTTCTCATTTGTATCTAAAGATCCTGTGATTGAACGAACTCCTAGTTTGTCAAGATATTGCCCCAAGCCCTGATCAGGGTTCCATCTCTCCTACCATCTAGTTCTTAAACAGATATACTACTCCGAGCTCTGATCAGGGTTCCATCTCTCCTACCATCTAGTTTTTAAATAGCTATTATCCTCTGAGCCCTGATCAGGGTTCCATCTCTCCTACCATCTAGTTCTTAAATAGCTTTTCTCCTCCGAGCCCTGATCAGGGTTCCATCTCTCCTACCATCTAGTTCTTAAAAACATTTAGTGAATAACATTTAAAAAAAAGACAACTCGAAGAACAACAATTTAAAGATAAAGATGTGAATAGAAAATGGGCTTGAAGAGCCCTGAATGCCTAGTTTTCTCAACCACCTCAACCTTCTGCAGTTACTCCCTTTGAAAGAACTACCAACTAATAAATCTCTGATCTTGTCCCTAGGTAGTTTTATGTAATAATAATATTTATATTGTAAGGTTGATAAACTCCAGAATACAATAGATCTGATTGCAACCCGTTTATTGGATTCAGAAACTAACCCTGATCAGTTAACAATATATTCAGGTAAAGAATTTGATTACTTGACTCAAACTATAGTTTTCTCATCCTTATATCCTTGAAACCCGGGACAGAACTTGAATCGCCTTTCATCGGTTCAAATTTGAATCACCGATTCAAACCCTTTCTTATCCTTTAACATTAAATCGGTATTTCAAATTTAAACTGGCAGTTGGAAGTTCAGGGATGTACCCAGATATAGTCAAGTTTTCACCTTCAGAAGTTCAGGGATGTATTCAGATATAGTCAAGTTTTCACCTTCAGGTTGCGAAAAAGTATGAAATAGAAACTAAGAATTAAAAACGATGTCAACTGTCACAAAGTCAAATTGTCTAATCCCTGTATCTTAGCAGTGTGCAAATTTTTGATATTTCAAACTTAGACTATTTAATCTTACAGAATTGAAACTTTAAAAATCTACGACATCGTGTTGCAAATATATGAGGCAAGAACTCAGTTCCTTTGAAATGTTCATGGAACTAAGCTTCGTGATCTAAAGTTTTAGGTCTCATTATTTGCGCAACATTGTTCTAAATATTGATAATCTAGTGGGTGTGTGTTTTTGTTTTTGTTAATTTTCATTCTCCCTGGGGAAAAGAATTTAGTCGTTTTCACGTTTTGCACCCAGATACATAAAGATATGTAGATATATCCATGATAACACAGGAATAGAAGAATTATTTGAAATCTGGAATTGATCATTGTTCATTTAAGGAGAGAACGAAGATGTGCAGATTTCAATCTCCAGTATCAGCTTCAGGTCACCTTCCACATACGAGGATCAGGGTTCAGTTATTTCCGTGGTTCTAGACAACCCGGAGAACAGGGAGAAGAAAGGACAACCCGATACCGTGGCACGGAGCTCCTTGGTTTTCAAATCTTTCCGTAAACTTGGTTGTATAATGAATAGACAGGAAGGGGGCCAGAGGAGTAATTTCAACCCTGACTTTATTATTCTCAGGTTGATCCTTGTCTTGGTTCAATTCAGCTTAACTGCTTGTTTACACGATATAGAAATGAATGTGCTCATGAACTCAGATTTAGAATATATTTTACCCTTTTAATATTATACAGTAAGAACAAGCAAACTGTGTCTTAGAAAGACTACATTAAACAATATTTCAATGTATTTGATTTCGTTACAACGAAAATAATTGGATAAATGGTTATTGGACTATTCAAAATCAAAAACTATTTCTAAAAGCCGACCACCTATTCCACAATTTTTTTTTATGTTCAATTTTTATTTATTTTTTCATTATTATATTCAGATATTGGTTAAGGTTGGCACAATTTTTTATTCAATTAATTTTTTCCCAATCAAAGAAAAATGCAACGGTAAAGCCAAATTAATGAATAATTTCATGTTATTAATTTTATTCCCTTTTTTCAACACGCTTTCATTGCAATTGTTAATGATAATATTTTAACCTTGAATGACCCCTGGTCCCCCGGATCTCTAGGTATCCTGTAGTACCCCAGAGAAGGGAAAACTTCAAGTAAACTCAAATATCATCGGAGCAAACCTTGACACCGGAGAAACTAGTTCTAAAAATGTTTCAGTCCGGATAAAATTTAACCATATTCATCCTGGAGATAGGTAGATAGTTTTCAATTCTCATCCATACACGCATTCTTACTTATCCTTCCTAACCCTCATCCTTATCCTTATTATCATATAAATCTTACTCATCCTCATCCATTTTCTCATTCTAATCCTTCTCTTTATCCTCATCCTCATCAGCATCCCCGTCCTCATTCTCACCTTCATCCTCATCATTATCCTCGTCATCATCCTCATCCTCATCCACATCCTTATCCTTTTTCTCTCCTAATCTTCATCCTTATCCTCATCCTCATCCTCATCCTCATCCTATCCTCATCCTTATCCTTATCCTCATCCTCATCCTCATTTTCATCCCCTTTCTCATCCTCATCCTCATCTTCATTTTCATCTTCAAACCTCATCCCCTTTCTCATCCTCAAACTCATCCTCATAACTCCTCCTCATCCTCATCCTCATCCTCAACCTCAACCTCAACCTCATCCAAATCCTCATCCTCATCCTCATCCTCATCCTCATCCTCATTCTCATCCTCAACCTCGTCCTCATCCTTATCATCATCTCCTTCCTCATCCTCATCCTCATTCTCCCCCTTATTCCCATCCTTATCCTCATCCTCATCCCCCATCCCCTTTCTCATCCCAATTCTTATCATCATTCTCGTCCTCATTTTCATAAATTACATATCCAGCATATATTCGCTGATATATCCGTCTTATATTTAGATATCCCCCGATATATCTGTCCTGGATCTATAGTTACCCTGATATATCCGTCCCGGATTTATAGTTACCCCGATATATCCGTCCTGGATCTATAGTTACCCTGATATATCCGACCCGGATTTATAGTTACCCCGATATATCCGTCCTTGATCTATAGTTACCCCGTTATATCCGTCCTGGATCTATAGTTATCATGATAAATCCGTCCTGGATCTATAGTTGCCCCGATATATCCGTCCTGGATCTATAGTTACCCCGATATATCCGTCCTGGATCTATAGCTACCCCGTTATATCCATCCTGGATCTATAGTTATCATGATAAATCCGTCCTGTATCTATAGTTATCCCGATATATCCGTCCTGGACCTATAGTTACCCCGATATATCCTTCCTGGATTTATAGTTACCCTGATATATCCGTCCTGGATCTATCGTTATCCCGATATATATCCGTCCTGAGATGGAATTTAAAGAATTTGAGCCGCGGTTTAAATCTGCAAAAACCCGGTTTAAATTAAGGGCCGGCTTAAATCTTGAAACATTTGATACAATTTTAAGTGGAACCAACCATATTTAAGCCGTGGCTTAAATTTAAACCGCCGCTTAAATTCTTTAAATTCGGCCACGGGATCTAAAGTTATCCCGATATAAGTTTGAAAAATCAAAGGTTTACACTATCAGATGAAAAAGATGTCTGAATTAGAAAATTTGTGTTTGTGGGAAAGACTTAAGTCAGTTAACCTGATATATCCATCATTATAAATATATATATATATATAGATATAAGTTGACATACCCGTCCTGTTATCAAGATATACCTGAGATATACCCACCCTAATAAGTCTGTCTTGTATCTATCTCAGTAATCTGATAATTACGTCCTAAATCAAGATATACCCTTTATCCGTCCTAAATCAAGATACACCCTGATAATCTATTCTGTATCAAGATACACCCTTTATCCGTCCTAAATCAAGATACACCCTGATAATCTATTCCGTATCAAGATACACCCTTTATCCGTCCTAAATCAAGATACACCCTGATAATGTGTTCCGTATCAAGATACACCCTGATATATCCTTCCTTAATCAAGATACACCCTGATATATCCGTCCTAAATCAAGATACACCTTGATATATCCGTCCTAAATCAAGATACACCCTGATATATCCCTCCTTTATCTAGGTATAACCTGAGCTCTGCCTCCTGTGTGTTCTGGGATACCAGCCTCCAGGATTGGAGTCATGAAGGAAAACTTCTCTTCAAATCTGTTGTCTCAAGCTTTTTAAATTTAAACATTTAATAAAGAAAAATTCTGTTTAAAAACAAAAATCTCACAACAAACCCCTCTTATATTTAAACTCGTAGACACTAAAACTGGTTTCATTCATTAAAAAATGTAATATTCTAAAGAATTGGTTACTTACAGTGTGCATAAAATGTTTATAAAAAACGCATAAAGGTTTAAAACAAACTGAAAAGTCTCATGTCAAACTAAATATATGTCTATTAGATTTTAGAAATTTTACGGGGGGGGGGGG